AAATATATATTATGTGCTTCTGTTTTTTTAATCCAGGAGGTTATAAAAAAAATCCTTCATTTTAAGGGAAGACCCTCTTGATTCAAGAGAAAACTCTTTATTTTTTAAAAAAAATGGCTGCTTATTAATTGTTAATCAATTTATCAACTTCAGATTAATTCATTATCAATAACTTGCATCCTTAAGGAGTTAACTTAATTTATATCTACTCATATTCATGTAATTAAGCGTTTTAATGATTTGGCCGATTAATCGATTAATCGAAAAAATAATCAACAGATGAATTGATTATTAAAAYAATGGTTAGTTGCAGCCCTAACTGAAACCAGAACAGACTTGTTACTTGATGCTGGTCTGTGTCTCCATCCTGTCCTCTGAAACCTGCAGTCTGAGCCTCAGGTGTCCTGGACCTGGTTGTGTTTCTGCACACACAGGCTGCATCCTGCAGTCCTGCTGCTCAGGAGGAACGACTGCAACTAAATCTAGATTTGACCCAGTCTGCTCAGTTTTAGACCAGTGACCTTTGCTGACTGGTGTTTTAAACTAAACTGCCTGTGAATGTGCAGAACAACTGGAGTTAACTGAGATGAGACTGACCTATAAAAGTCTTGTGTCCTGTCTGTCCTGCAGCCACAGAGACCTGAAGCCTGAGAACTTGTTGTTAGACGAGAAGAACAACATCAGGATAGCAGACTTCGGCATGGCGTCTCTGCAGGTCGGGGAGAGTCTGCTGGAGACCAGCTGTGGGTGAGTGGGCTGGAAAACAGTTTTTATTCCTGTCACAGTGTCTGTTTCTGTGCTTTTATTCTGGATTTCAATGGAAATGTTTGAGTGTCTGCAGGAAAGCTTTGATGCTGTAGCTGTTGGTTTCAGAGGCTTTAAGAGGCTCTGCAGGATCACAGCTGGACCAAGAGTTCTGGCTCAGTTCAGCCGTGCAGATGAACATAAACCCTGTCAGGTAGCCTGGCTGCTAACGTTAGAGAGAGGACGCTCCTGCTGCACGTCTCCATCAGATGGACTCACACCAGTTAACAGAATGACTTGAACCAACGAGTGGTGTGCAGCAGGACAGATGAAGCTCTGCTGTAATTAGACTCCAGTTCCACTGAGGCGTCTGTGTCAGAGCAGCCCCCCCCCTCCACCCCCTCCATACATTAGCATAATCAGGTGTGTCAGCGGTGAACATGAAGTGTGTGTTTACTCAGAGTTCATTTCTTCTCATGCATCTTATCAGAAGGTTAAATCAGATCAATAACAGTAAGTTTAAAATGTTCAAAGAGTTACAATAAAAACTGAAAGTCATTTATTCACACTAACTGTAGAGACTACAGGTGTGTGTTTTAGGCTCATTTGTGGATTTGTTGTGTTTTGATTTTTGGACATTGTGTGGACATTGAGATAGTGGACAGTACCTGGGTGTTCACCTGAACAACAAACTGGACTGGACTCACAACATGGACTGTTTACAGGAAGGGTCAGAGCAGACTCTACCTGCTGAGGAGGCTC